ATTAGTGCTACTTTAAGTAGCACATCTGCTTCGAGAGCATGCAAAACTAAGAGATTATGCTCAAATAATCGAGGGTCATTCTCTATAACATGGGTCACATCAAGAGCATGCTAGAAAGTAAAAATACATCACTAATTATCAATTTCTTTAATTGAAACAACTTTTCCTAGACACCAAACATTAATAGTGACTTCCCGGAAAATGGAGAGTTTAATTCGATGGAGTGTTTAATTTGTTTATCGATGATGAGGTTACCCAACAAAGATAAGCCAATAGATCCTCCTTTTCTGCCATCCAACTTGCCAACCAAATCTAAAACTAGATCATCTTCCTCTTAAGTCACTGTCTAGTAAGGCTTCTCAATTACCTGTGGTGGATCTGTCATATACCCCAAGGGTTCGGAGACATACCAGGAGTCCGGGTCTTCTACGTAGTGGGTTGAGGCCCAATGCCGAAGCCAATATCATAGTCTAGGCCCAACACTCCGTTGGTGAGCCTGTTCTATTGTGTGTTGAGCTACGTCAATCAAGTCGATCATGATAATTATTATTCCAAGATTCTGCATTGATGTTGTCGGATGAGGCCGAGCGGACCTGATCCGCCCCAGCTCAGTTATAGTTCATATGGGGTCATTGATATAACAGGGTAGACTCCCTGCTGACAATTCCAAAAGGTGTAGATTCCTGTCTGCAGACCATTTTAAAAGTTGAACATATTTGGTGAATATGTTCAACATTTTATATATAAAAAAATAAAGCAGGGAACGTATTTGGCAAATATGTTGGGCAATTTCAAATTAAAAAGTGTAGTATAGAGGCGTCTGCAGACTACTTTAATAGATGAACATATTTGGCGAATATGTTCAACAATTTTTATTAAAAAAATCAGTGGACAATTTTGCTAAATATGTTCAACAATTTCAAATAAAAAAAGTTTAGTAGAGAATCGGTTCCTGTATTAACATGTAAAAACAATCCAATGCATTATTTATCTCATGGAACCTTTCAAAAATAATTATACAGTACTATCTACTGAAATGAAAATTTATATATTCTGAATTGAAATACTTTTTTGAAATGATAAGAACAACTTGTTATTAAAAACTAAAAAAGTACAATTTAAAAACGCTAAAATATTAAAAATACATGAAATCATTGTTGTCCTCTTCTTCTGCTTGGACGCATATCCATCTCATTTTGAAACCTTGTTTCTTGACGACGCCCCACTCGAGAAGTTCATGATAAATATTTCGGCGGTAAAAGATGGATCCCAATATTCGGCCACTCATTCACATTTGGTAGAGGCATAATATCACCCGCATGTGCATTAATGTAAGAGCTCAGTTTATATACCTCCGGAATAAGTTGATCGACAGGGCGGTTGAGGAAGTGACACACAGCATGGACGTGGCTACATGGCATCCAGTTCATCCTCCAGCACCCGCAATCACAGTCGCGCCTTGAAAAGTCTACCGTAACCGAAGTTGCATTTTCTATGGCAACTGAGAAAACTCCATTATTACATTAATATCAATACTATTACAGTAATACTCATATTGTTATAAACTAATATTGTGAGCTCGGCCCTGCACCAAATAAATTAGCCCAATTAAAACCAGCACTTGATGTTCAGGAATTTCATGTGCATGACAGGAACTAGCAACTGTGGACGGGGGATCCATGGATGTATCATGATATGTATCGTCATCATGTAACCCATAACTTGTGGATATGCTCGGTTGGCCACGGCCATCGGGTGATGTGTGTCCTTTTTTTTTAACCCGGAGGCAAACCACCAAAATCAGTGGAGCAAACGCCAGAAAACATTTGCCGTGTTTTATTAAAAATCAAAAGGTACATAGAAGAGGAGGACCACACCAAAACCTCTTCAGAAAAGCAACGAAGGAAAAAGAAATGACAATTTTTTTTTGGGGGGGGGGGGGGAGGGGGGGGGGGTAAGACCTAACCCAAAAAATACACGTTAAACTGAAAGAAAAATCACATCCTAATAGATGGAATGCCAAACTTGTCCATAATATAAGCTCTCCTAATTGGGCCTGGCAAATCTACAACAACATTAAAGATGGGCAGTTGGGCCTCGTGGAGATGGGCTAGATTATCCGCCGGTCTATTTGCTTCTCGCCAGGTTTACCCGAAAGTAACCCCTTTCCTATTCGCATCCAGCAACATTTCCTGAATAGGAACCTTCCATTTCCTATTTGGTAAATAAACTAATATTTGGTAAGTTTCGTATTTCACTTTTTTATAGGTTCCTAATTCACAATTAAAAATTACCACTATTATAATTTCGGTAAATTAACACTAATCTTTCCTATTTGGTAAATAAACTAATATTTGGTAAGTTTCTTATTTAACTTTTTTTATAGGTTCCTAATTTACAATTAACAATTAACACTATTATAGACTAATTTCATTCCTAAGTAACATTTTTAAATTATAAACTAAATTAAATTAAAAAAGATTAAGGAAAAACTTACTTGGGTTAAATGAAAGATATGGCCAAAAATTGGAGAAGAAGAGAAGTTGGAACAGTTAGATGTGTTGTGAAGTGTGATTTGTAGTGGGTTTTATAGAACATATTCGCCAAATATGTTCGAATATATATTTATTAGATTCGATCCACACCAAATGCTTTCAGCCAATAGGAAGTCCGACATATTTGGCGAATATGTTGGCATATATATTTATTTAATGCAAACATATTCACCAAATATGTTCAATTAAAAGCCATCCACACCCTTCAACGCATGATCCGAGATTGTGATCAGCGCCCCATATTATTGACCAATAGGAAATCTGACAGACACACCAAATATGTTCACATGCATATTTTTTTTCTTTTCGAAAATACTCAACATGTTTCACTTTTTCAATTAACAATTCTATCAAACCTACACTTTTTGGAAACACTTGCAATAAAGTTACCCTGTTCCGTCATTTACTCGTCCCTATCACCCTATGCTTAACTGCCTCTCGGGCGTACGTTCTAGACATGTGTATCCAAGGTTTGAGTCACAAAAACTATTGTTGACATAATAGCCCAGTTCCTAAGGATTGACATCATTACTAACATCACAGTTCGATTCCCAAGGGATGACATCATTACTGATATCATTCCACGTCAGCATGTTCACTATCCGACATTAGTATGTTTACTATGTTTGCTCCCCATACGGGTAGGTTAGTTGGTTCAATGGTGGGAAATTTGGACCAAATGTTTGCTCCCCATAGCTCGTCACCCTTTGATTAACTAGCGTTTTAGGGCTTATGGGCCATGCCTTGTATTTTTCCTATGAATTGTTTTGCATGTACGGTTATTATGTCAAATTTAATACTTCTTCTGTTCTTAAATAAGTGCAACAATCAACATTTCACACTTGTCGAGACACAACTTTGACCATCAATATATATAATTCTATATTAGTAAAAATTTAAAAAAATTAGTTTTTGAAAATTTACAATGAGACAAATTTAATAATATATTTTTCAAAAAAATATATCAATACATCAATAAATAAAATGTAGTCAAAGTAGAACATGTGAATAGTGTAAAATTTCACATGTTGCCCTTATTTAAGGACGGAGGTAGTACATCACTGTTTCATCCTGTAATTGCTCCAAGCCTCCAACTTCTAACTGACTTTCTACTACCCTCAGGTTCCAGAACTCATCAACCTACGTTTGCAACTCCTCACCACTACTGCCTACTTTTTGCGCCATTGATTGTTCCGAAAAGGTGAAATCTCTCATCTCAGGAGCCCCCAACCCCGACCCGACAAGATGGTGGGAAGGTTAGTCACGGTGACTCAGTCAGCAGAATGGTAGTATGCTCATACACCCGTGCGCACTAGAAGCCCAGCCTTATTTCAGGTTCTGTGACCTCCACCCGGTCGCTGCGGGGATTCGAACCTTGGTCCATTGTTCCAAATCTCACACCACTCGACCAACTGAGCTACCCGTGCGGATATTTTTTTTGCGTCGTTGATGATCCACATGAAGGCGGTCAAAACTAGCTACTCACACTATGCAAGTAAAGTCGCCCACTTTTTATTTGGATCCCATTTTTTTATTCATATCGAGTATTGAGATCACTTCTATGCTTTTTCACATTTATATATAGTTATAAGGGGTTCTCACACTAGTGACATTGAAATGTCCAAACTCTTAAAAAAATTCTCAGCACAATGATAATATAATACCGTCACTCATCCTTATGGATTTAATACTTAAAATCAATTTTTCTATTCTATCACCTAAACTTTAATATCAATTTTTGAAGTAAGAAATCATTTTTTTCTCATTTATCAGCTACAGGTAGCTAATAAAATAATTATTCTTTTATGCATAAAAAAATAATTATGCATAAACAAATAATTAGCATCATTCATGAAAATTTATTAATATACAAGTTTTCAAAAAAAAAGCAACATTTTTTGTCTTAACAGTAATGCAATCAAGCAAATTGTTGGGGAATATTATCCCGGCCCACTACTATTCAGAGGTCCAAGTCATCACCCGGTATGAAGCCCGGTCAGCAAGGCCCATTTAGGCCTACCTGGCCCGTTTCGACCTAACCGGCCCGAATACGAATTGTTTGGGTCCAATAAGGCCTTTTCGGCCCATTAGTGTGGGAGGGCTTTTCCCTCCTTCCTATAAATAGGAGGAGGGCTTTTCTTTAAAGAGGATCTTTTTCCTCTTCTCTCCTGGAGTGAGATCTTCTCCCCCCACCCTCTTTATTCTTTTAGATTAGCACCAAGCTCCATGAGTGGAGTCTCAAGACATGTATTATGTAATTGAGTGATGGGAGGGTAATAATGAGAATGAGCGGGCTTGGACGTTAGCCTAAAAAGTTCCGTGGTTTTCTCCCTTTCCGGGTTTCCACGTAAAAATAGCTAGTTTATACACTTTTAGATATTTATTCATTTTTATAATGAATCTATGATCCTGAATATCCGAAATTATGTTGGACTTTCGGATCTACGGGACTAAAACTCAACATTGGCGCCGTCTGTGAGAAACGTTCAAAAAACTACATGTGTTCTTGGCATTTCTACCAAAATTCATACAAGATAGACTGATTTTTAGAGAAGCAAAAAAGGTTTTGTTTGTGTTCTACAAAAAATTTACATCAAAGATGAACTGATATCTAGCTGTGGAATGGGAATTTCAATTCTGCTCCAGGCTAGCTAATTCCCTGGTCAACAACGGTGGAAAGCACAACAGCAAAGGAAGATCTCCAGACCCAGTGAAAAAACTTCAGCAGCTTGGCCGTAGCTCAAATCTCTACACCCAACAAAACGGGCCGAAGCAAGAGTCAAAGGAGATTGGAGAAAAATGATGAGTGGGGCCCGCGTGCCCACCACTTTCCTTTTCCTGACAACACTTTTTGATGATTTGACAGATTCACTCTTATCTAAAGGAGAGACGCCGAATGCCGAACGGGAACTCCCCGAACACAAGGCTAACAGCTACGACCGAAGCACAATGCCCACAAGGCCGTATACCAACCATGAACTACTTGATCATGGAAAGGAGCTGGGATGGGACCGCCGGAGGTGTCAGCACCGTTACTGCTTTAGCTCATCCAGGCCCCGTCATCATGGCCTAGGCTTTCTGCCGGTCGGAGGCTCAACGGTCTCCACCATCAATGGAGACTCGAAGCTCGCGAAGACCATGGTCCGAGTTGGGCTCACCTTCCTCCGTCATCTCTTCATCCCAGCAGCAGGGGCCAATCAGAGGAGGACAACAGTCGAGTGCAGATATTTCTCTAGCACCCATCAATGGGCCCCACGCGTAACAGCTGTTTTCCTTCACACAAAAGGCTGCAACCTGACAAAACTAGCGACTAAAAAAGACAGGTGGGGCCATATGTTAACAAGTGGGTTTCTGAAGCCCGAAAGGTATTTTCTGGCCGATCCAGGGATGTTAGCCGAAAGAATGATCACTTGAGATGCAAGAGGTCCATCTAGAACGGGAGAAGGGTTTTTTGAAGGTAGGGAGAACTGCTCCTTAACTAGCACCACTGCCGCCCTTGGTCGTGAACTCCCTGGATGTTTATAGCTAGCTGCCATTAACCCAAGAATAGCGCCCGACCTACATTCGAGGGAAATTGACGTTTTCATTCTTGAAGCAGCACACCATTTACCGAAGGGGAATATGCAGAACCCGTCCATACCAGCAGTTCCCCTGCCTATCCATTTTCACAAAAAAAAAAACAGAATAAAACATCCATAGTCCTGTACGGGAGGTTACCCGAACGACCTCCAAAGAGAAAATTCATGTCCGGTCAGTAGCTTATGGTATCGGGAATGGCAACAGGTTAAGTACCCGAACGACACTTCTCACTAACCGAACTGTATCTCCTTGTCAGTGATAATCCGCCCAAACGGAACCTCCACCGCATGTCGCCCAGCCACATTCGCATTGAGCCACCCGAATTCATCTTGAACGACCGATCATCATTTGACTTTTCATCATTCGGCAGATCCTTCATTGGCCCAACCTCCATTCAGCCCTTATGTCATTTACAAGTTGAAAAAGCATTCGAAGAACATGTACATGCCATCAATAAGGATTGGCCGCTCGGTAAACATCACCCCCCAACAATTGAGAGCGTAGGGCCGCACGGCCTCCCCCAGTAAAACTCCCACTTCGCACCACTCATGCCCTGTCAAGTGTGATGATCGGATTTCCTGTAGGGAGGTTATCGATCGGCCTGGTTACCCAATCTTGGGCGCAGTTCGCTTCACCTGCAAAAGATTACGGCTCTGAGTCTGGCCTTGCTCTATACGGAAAGCTGGTGCCCGAACCCCCAACTGACAGTCACCGATCGGCTCCTCCACCGTTCGGTGTGGATCTGGGGCAGTTTGAACAAGTGATTATTTAAGTGGTCTGAACGGCCTTTGGAAGTCTCGATCGGCCAAGTACTTGAAGTCAACCCTGGGCAAAGGGATGGGTTATGTCTGTCCCAAACGGATTATTTAATGGGGATATTTTTGAGTGGCCGGATGGGCCTACTCCACGAAGGAAGGCCGCGGTATTCGTTATCGGGCCGAACCAAATTCCCCGGACCAATAACTTGGTCCGGCAGCTGCAAGTCAGCCTATTCGAGCTAAGTATCATCATTTTATCTCGCTAATTTATTCTGAAAAAAAATGGTATTATTGTCATGATTGATTTCCCCACCATTATTTATAAGGGATAAAATCTTCCCGAATTAAATAGTACCGAACGAGGAAGCTCTGGTGATAAGTTATCGTCATTTAGTTAGATGATTGGTTTTAGTAGGGTCTATCGACCCATCCCGATCGGCTCAAATTAGCTGACTGAGAGTGTCTCGTAAAGGCGTTGCCCGATGACACACTTTAATTTAAAACCGTACATGGTTTCGCACGACACCAAGTGACCGAACGGCAACCATGCCCATTATGGGGCGAGGTATGTACTTTGATTAGTTCGTGCTATTCTGAGAGGAGCCCGACAAACAACTAGGTGGTTCTGATAGCCCCTGAGTAGTGCGAAAAATAAATCTAGACCGAGGGTTATTATACCACTTGGCCGGTAGTCATGAATGAAACAAAAGAAATGTTATACTTGTGTATATATATGCTTGTATATGTTGTTCGGCCGTACGACCGTATTACCATACTGATTGTGCAGTGGAATCCGTTCTATATGCTCGAGCTGGGAGATCCATGATGTTGGCATGAAGCGCGGAGACGTTCATGACCGACAGAGAAAAGAAGATCGAGATTCAGAAATGAAGATCGAGATTCAGAAAAGGGGATCGAGATTCAGAAATGAAGATCGAGATTCAGAAAAGGGGATCGAGATTCAGAAATGAAGATCGAGATTCAGAAAAGGGGATCGAGATTCAGAAATGAAGATCGAGATTCAGAAAAGGGGATCGAGCTTCAGAAATGAAGATCGAGATTCAGAAAAGGGGATCGAGATTCAGAAATGAAGATCGAGATTCAGAAAAGGGGATCGAGATTCAGAAATGAAGATCGAGAATTCTGTGTTGCCGAGTGATGTTCGGCAACACAGAAAATTTCAACCCATGGTTAACACGCAGTCATTTCGGATGACCGAATGACGAACGGGTTAACAACATGGAAGGAAAATCATTCTCAGCTAAGAGAGTTTTGACCCTAGAATTATGAACGGATAAAGGGATCAAAACGGCTTGAAGAATCGATGCTCAGAACATCTCAGCCCATGGTTAACACGATCATTCCGGATGACCGAATGATGAACGGGTTAACAACATGGAAGGAAAATCATTCTCAGCTAAGAAAGTTTTGACCCCAGATTTATGAACGGGTGAAAGGATCAAAACGGCTTGAAGAATCGAGGCTCAGAAAATCGGTGCTCGTGATTAACACGATCATTCTGGATGACCGAATGAGGAACGGGTTAATTCCATGGAAGGAAAATCAATTCTCAGCTAAGGGAGTTTTTGACCCTAGATTTATGAAGGAATAAAGGGATCGAAAACGGCTTGAAGAATTGAGGCTCAGAAAATCGGTGACCGTGGTTAACTCGATCATTCCGGATGACCGAATGACGAACGAGTTAACAGCATGGAAGGAAAGTCATTCTCAGCCAACGGCTTGGAGTTTGACGCTCAGATAGTCTCACCTCAGCGGTTAATATGAGAATCGATTCTGGAAAACCGAATGATGAACATATTAGCAGTTTGGAGGGAGCCATTATTTCAGCAAGAGTTTTGACCCTATAATTACGCATTGATGATGGGATCAAAATGGCCTGGGGCTCGAGGACAGTGATTCTCACCTCAGCTTGTTAACACGTGGAATCATTCTGGATGACCGAATGACGAACGGGTTAACAGTTTGGAGGGAGCTGAGTCGTCAACTTAGCCAAAGTCGACCCTGTAATTACGTACGGGCAAAGGGATCAAAACGGCTTGGAGATGGTGTCAAGACTGTAAGATATGGATTAACCGAGCGACGTTCGGATAAGGTACAGATTGTCGCTCGGGGAATCGGAACTATGGTTTTGAAAAAGCTCGCCTCAGTCATGAACTTGATTCGCAAGCGAGTCGCCCTTTTAGCTATAAGTAAGGAATGACCCAAATTCAGTGATCTTGCTTACAGTTCGAAAAGGGTTACCTCAGACCCCTAATATGGATGATACGAGCCAGAGAGAATAGTTCGGAATGCATCAGAATTATGGGTTTGGAAGGGAGATTGTCTCACCTCAGCTTGTTAACGTGTGGAATCATTCTGGATGACCGAATGATGAACGGGTTAACAGTTTGGAGGGAGTCCCTGTCCCAGCTGAGAGTTTGACCCTGTGGTCACGATCAAAACGGCTTGGAGGAATTCACCTCAACTAAGAGTTTTGAACCCGTGCGTCACGAACGGAAAAGGGATCAAAACGGGCTCGGGAAAGGTGTCAGAACAATGTTCTTATGCAGCACGAACGGGCTCCACAGCACCGTCGTGCCTGATTCTCGGTCAGGCTCGTCCATCCTTGATCTAGGATGACGACCGCCGCTCTTATGCAGCACGAACGGGCTCCACAGCACCGTCGTGCCTGATCCTCGGTCGGGATCGTCCATCCTTGATCTAGGATGACGACCGCCGCTTTATGCAGCACGAACGGGCTCCACATCACCGTCATGCCTGATTCTCAGTCAGGCTCATCCATCCTTGATCTAGGATGACGACCGCCGCTTTATGCAACACGAACGGGCTCCACAGCACCGTCGTGCCTGATTCTCGGTCGGGCTCGTCCATCCTTGATCTAGGATGACGACCGCCGCTCTTATGCAGCACGAACGGGCTCCACAGCACCGTCGTGCCTGATTCTCGGTCGGGCTCGTCCATCCTTGATCTAGGATGATGACCGCCGCTTTATGCAGCATGAACGGCTGGCTCATCAGCGCCGTCATGCCTTCTTTTTTATCAGGCTCGTCGATTCCTTAATCTAGGATGGCGAGCGTCACTTATTATGCAGCACGAGCGACATGCTCTACAGCGCCGTCGTGCCTAGTGCGGGATTGCACCTCACTTATGGATTATGCATGCTTTGCACCCAAAATTATTCAAAGACTGATTCAGGGATGGCAGGAAAGGACGTGAGCAGGAGTATACTTTCTCGAGTAGATTTGCAGGCTCACTACTCAAGAAACTGGGGGACTTGTGTTGGGGAATATTATCCCGGCCCACTACTATTCAGAGGCCCAAGTCATCACCCGGTATGAAGCCCGGTCAGCAAGGCCCATTTAGGCCTACCTGGCCCGTTTCGGCCTAACCGGCCCGAATACAAATTGTTTGGGCCCAATAAGGCCTTTTCGGCCCATTAGTGTGGGAGGGCTTTTCCCTCCTTCCTATAAATAGGAGGAGGGCTTTTCTTTAAAGAGGATCTTTTTCCTCTTCTCTCCTGGAGTGAGATCTTCTCCCCCCACCCTCTTTATTCTTTTAGATTAGCACCAAGCTTCATGAATGGAGTCTCAAGACATGTATTATGTAATTGAGTGATGGGAGGGTAATAATGAGAATGAGCGGGCTTGGACGTTAGCCTAAAAAGTCCCGTGGTTTTCTCCCTTTTCGGGTTTCCACGTAAAAATAGCTAGTTTATACACTTTTAGATATTTATTCATTTTTATACTGAATCTATGATCCTGAATATCCGAAGTTATGTTGGGCTTTCGGATCTACGGGACTAAAACTCAACACAAATTATTTTTCAAAAAAGATACACACACATATGTACAAGCAAGTAAAAGTTTTATTATACCCACATTTTTCTTTCTTTTTTAAAACATGTAATACAACTTTAGTCATATGCATGCCTACACATTTTAAATAATTCAAATTAAGTGCATAACTCTTACGGAGTATATAGTTAATGTGGTGTGTTATTTTATTTATCACTATTCTATATTTCTATATTGTGAAGTGGCAAGATGATAGAATTGTCCCTCGCCCAAGATTATAAAAGGTGCACTAGTATTAATTAAAAAAGCACTTATGATTTCTTTTAGGGAAAATACATACTAATAATCTCACATTTGATCGATCAATAGACACACCTAGCCCTAATCTAAAAACAATAGCACATTTGCATTCCATCCTCTTTTGTTGGTCCGTGATCGATTGATGACCCGTTATTCCAAGTTTTTTTCTTTTTCCTTGCAAAACATTAAATAAAACATTTTACCTTTCACATATCTTCTCAAAAATTCACATATATAACTATTTACATTTTCTCCTTATAATATTTCTCTTTTTTCCTCTCTGATAACTTTTTTTTTCTTTTTCATTTTCCGTATTCTTCCTCTTGTTTTTATTTCTATTCTATGTTTATGCATTCATTTCCGCCCTATCAAGATAATTCTTTTTCTGTAAAATTTCCTCCTCTGACATTTGTTAACCTTTTTTTTCTTCCTATTTTTTAAATATCATTCCCCTTTTTTCTTCATTGGATTATTTTGCTTTTTAAAAATAAAATTTTCACTTACTCATTGCTCTTTGCTCTATTTTTGTTACTCTCATTTGTACCCCTTCTCTTCTTACCTTAACCACACCACTAATATATTTTTCCCTTTTCACATTAGAACATATTTTTAGGTGGGTCCACCATTAATTTATAACTACGGTGAAAAGAAAAAAATTGGAGAAAAGGAAGTGAAAAAAATGGCAAATACTCTTTACACGAAATGAGATAGAGCCCGTAGAGGGCATGGGTCAGCCGATAAGAGAAGAAAGAATGAAAATTTTGATTTAATTCTTTTAACTTTTTATTTAGTTGATTTTCTACCTCAGCTTTATGAACTTAGAATTATTAAAAGTTTTATCTTCATTTCAATTCTAAGCAAATAAACCTTGATGTATGTAGAAAAATCATCTATAAATGTGGTAAAAGATCTCCCACTGCACACAGTCATGGACTCATGGTATAACCGTATA